ATGCAAAGTTCATATATATATATATATATATATATGAACTTTGCATATATTTCCATATTGAAACAGCTGACTAAAATAGCTTTGGCATTACTTTGGGAATAGTTCAGACTTTATTTATTTTGGTTACCCACTGTGTTGTTTCCTTGTCTTAACTATACTGTAATAATAATTTTAAATAATTTAGTATCTCCTAATCTTTCGATATGTTCACCTCAAAACCAAAATTATGAATTCAGTTCAATTCATTTTATAGCTCCAGTTCACAACAAAGTTGTCTCAGGGCACTTTACAGAAACATCCACATATATAAAAAAGCCAATTAGTAAAGGTCTGTCTATGGAAGGTTACTAGGTTTATGCAAACGGTACCAAATACTTTTTTATTTTTTTTATTTTTTATTTTAACTCTTAACTTGTGTGCTATTTGTTTTTCTAGAAATAATTTTATATTTCATTGACCACATTCTCTTCTTCTGTCAGCTTTCAGTTCACACACCTTTTGATATTTTTGTCTGTTTATTTTTTATTGTTTACAATATGATTTTTAACACCTCTAAACTGACTTTGGAAATTGGCATTTTGGCAATAAATATAAAGTAAATATGTATGTTTGACGTGCAGTTGAAAAGGTGGTGAATGAGCTGCGAGAGCTGCAGGTGAAGCTTGAAGACTTTGAAAAAGTGAAGTTAATCGGAAGAGGAGCCTATGGAGAAGTGCAGCTGGTAAGATTCCTCTCTGTTTATGCCAGTAAATGTGTGATTGTTACTTTTTCATAAACTTTAAACTTCTTGAAAGGGGAAAAAAAATCCAGCTGTTTCTTGTACTGTATTTCATTCTGGCACCTCAAAACCACCAGAGGGAGCAACCTATCTAGAAATCTTTGAAACATTTCTTCTTGGATTTATAACCGAACTGTTTTCTTTAGATAATTACCAAAAGAGTTGGTTTTAGGTTTAAAGCTGGCTCCAGTTTTTTGTTCTTTTTAACTGTCTGTCTCTTGTGCTGGTAGAACCTGGTATTTTGTTTAGTTGCACATACAAGTCTGGGCAGGCTTGGCTTGTGTGAGATAAGCATGAAGCCTCTTGTGGGGGTGATGGGGTACTTGTGTGTGTTTGTGCTTAAAGTCATGTGTAAGCATGTCCTTTTGATGGGCAAGAGCAATTACGGCCTTCCATCTCAGTCTGTCTCTCATGTTATCTTGATCATGTGGCGTTCGAACAACCCTCGTCTTATTGTCCGTGTGGTCTTATCACTGTGTACATTCTAGCAACCGCTTCCATACCCTCCCCCACTCCCTCTTCTCTGATGCAGGTTCGTCACAAGGCCTCGAAAAAGGTTTACGCTATGAAGCAGCTCAGCAAGTTTGAGATGATCAAGAGGTCAGATTCAGCCTTCTTCTGGGAGGAGAGGCACATCATGGCGTTTAACAACAGTCCCTGGATCGTCCAGGTGTGTTTTTATTGCAAAGCATTTACAAGTATAATGATGAGGGGAAAAACTGAACATAAAAAAGGCAGAATTTTATTTTAAGATAGAGATAGGGCTGCTTTCCACTTTTTCTTTGTTTGTTCAAGGGGGGGGGGGGGGGTGACAAGAAAATTTGATTCAATATACATCATATTACTGATGAAATAGTTGATGTTTTTTCCTAGTCGGCCTATTGCCTGCTTCCAACTTGTGTTTTTTCAATGTCAGTTGGCTGTGGTGGACATTTTCTGCAAAAGGTGATCAGTTATAGGAGTATATTCAACTATTACTTTCTGAAAGTATCAATAAACATCCAACAGTTTGAGATATTTTGATAAACAGACAATTACTACATTTATTGGCTGCACTGCATGGTGGCTTGGCAATAAATAACACTAAGTTTTAAATGATGGATGGATGGATTTTTAAGTTTTCATATATAAAGGAAAAATGCTCGTTTTTGCTTGTTTTCTGACAGCAGGTCAACAGCATTGTTTCATCTAGTACACTACCTTCAGTCAGTTTTCAGAAGGCTTTTTATTCTTCGTAAAACAATGCTTTGGTGGCGTCTTCTTCTTTCTGTTTGACTCAGAAGAAGCCATTTAATGCTTGTTTGCATAAATCTGTAAAAAGCGAGCCACAGCTTTACTTTGTCACAGTATAAATGTAGCTTTTAAAACTTTCATCCTATTGATTTGCTCCAATTATCACATGTTTTCTACACATTTCAGACAATAAGAAAAAAATGTTGTACTTCAATGTTTTGTTTCTTCAGCCTTCATCAGATGACTTGCTCTAATCTTACTCGTGTTTACACTGTTGTTTTGTAATAACTTAACCATAAGATTTCATTTGGAGACTTTAAGTGTTTGTCAGGGACACATTTATCCATACTGGAGTCAGATGCAAAAGAAAAAAGTCTGTGATTAATGCATCTACTTTCATTGTGACGCAAACAATTAGTCCTTTTAGGAAATGTTGCAGCTCTTTTGCATGTTTCCATTTTCAGTGTTCACTTTCAGTACCTGGCAAATTTAATAAACTTACTATTAAATCATTAGAACTCCAGCAAAAGACAAAAATCAAGAATTTATAACTGGGCTTTTTATTCCACGCCTTTTAGGTTTTTAAACAATAATACAAAACTATTAAGACAAATTTAAAACACAAGAAAACTATCAAATTAGACAAGTAGCAAATGTTTGCATCTATTAAATAATATATAAAGAACAAAGCTACAAATTATTTGGGACAATAAATTCATTGTGTTACACATTGTGTAAACATAAAACATGTATGTATAGCATTAAACAAGATAAAGTCTTGTATTAGATGATTGTCAAAGTACTCCCATGTTTACCACCTAATACTATAGTAACCTGAATCTCACAGTAAATTATGTTTTAGGATAAGTAAATTAGTTATACCCAAAATGAGATTATAAACTAAGAGATACAAGTTTTTCTTTCCCCAGTTTCTTAAAAGTGTGATTAGGAATATCTGACCTGATTTTGTTGGTGTAAAATTCACACATAGACTTCCTGTTGCTGAATGATGGACACAGATTGTTTAGAAAAGAAGCGTATACTGTATATTAAATGTGGTCAAATCTTTTTGGCACAATGGTTTTACAATGTGAGAACAATCTTGCAGCTCTGCTGTGCTTTCCAAGACGATCACCACCTCTATATGGTGATGGAGTTCATGCCTGGAGGAGACTTGGTCACACTCACCATAAACTATGACATCCCTGAGAAGTGGGCTCGTTTCTACACGGCTGAAGTCGTGCTGGCGCTGGACGCTATCCACTCCATGGGCTTCATCCACCGTGATGTTAAACCTGACAACATGCTGCTGGACCAAAACGGACACCTCAAACTGGCCGACTTCGGCACATGCTTGAGGATGGACTCGGTGAGTTGATTTCAGTCCTCTTTGAATCGTTGGTCTATCGTTCTTTAAAGTCTAAAGAGAATATATCTGCATGTCTTGAGTTTAACTTTCCATCCCAGGATTGTTCTAGTGCACCATGAGGTGGTTGGGTGGCGCTCAGAGCTCAGCAGCACAAGGTGCAGCAGCAGCCCTCCCTCTGGTGGGAGGAAAGAAATGTTTTCCAACCTTTTTATTTTCACCACAGCTTTTCCAAGCAGCTGCTTTTTACTTCTCTGAAATTCTGCTCATTAACAAATGGCTGTATAAACATCATTTTCAAAGTTCTTTATTTGTCATTTGTGCACAGACCAACAATCCAGGCACATAGGAATTCTTGTTCTCTCACAGCCATAGTCAAAAACACTAAATAAAATAAAAATAAGAACAAAGTGGTTTCTATCTACACTGTACAGAAAGTAATCCATGTGTGCCACAAGTGAAGTTAGGTAGTGTGGGGTTATTATTGCACCTGACCTGTAGTTTTGTTTTGTTTTCAGTCTGACTGTGGCAGGGAAAAACCTATTACAAACCTTGTACTATGGATGATGATGCTATCCGCTCTACTGTGCCTCAGGTTATATAAACATTTTTTGTGTCTGATAAGAGAGTGAGCTGGATGGAGTTAGTTCTTGATGATCCCTGCTGCTCTTTTTCAACAAGTTTTGTCCCTGTGATCCTCTCCACAGTCTTTATGACTCTTTTCAGTGCCTTCATTTCTACTTGTGAGGTGTTCCCATACCAGACGGTGATGCCTGTGGTTAGGATACTCCCTATCAGTCCTCTATAGGCCTGGGTGAAAGGGTGCTGGTTCAGACCCACTTTCCTAAGCAGCCTAATGAAGTAAAGCCTTTACTGGGCTTTTTTTCACTGTGGCTGAGTTGTTGAGAGACCAGCTCAGGTCCGATGTAACCTGCAGTCCCAAGTATCTATCGCTGTCAGCCTTCCCTACCTCAATCCTTTTAATGATGAGAGGCAGTAATGGGGGAGGGTTCTTCCTGAAGTCCAATATGACTTCTTTGGTCTTGTCTGTATTGAGGATGAGATCGTTCTTCTCTCCATTGCTTATAATGTCTACCAAGGTCCTGTACCCTGACTTGTTCCACTCCTGGATGAGCCCAAATATATTGGTGTCATCAGCATATTTAATAACGATGGTGTTGTGCTGGGTGGAGACACAGTTTTTGTGCAAATCTGGTCAAAACTATCTGCCGAAGAAGAAGAAAATAGTTTCTTTAAACCCTTTCTGAGTGAAGTGAACTGAAATAAACACAACACAAAATATGTAGCATTTTTTTAAACACGTTTTTAAGTCCAAACTTCTTTTTTCTTTCCTTTTATTAATGATTCTCACACACTGTGTTGTGTATTTGTCTGTCTGCAGACAGGTATGGTGAACTGTGACACTGCTGTAGGCACACCAGACTACATCTCCCCTGAGGTGCTTCAGTCTCAGGGTGGTGATGGAAACTACGGCAGGGAGTGTGACTGGTGGTCTGTGGGAGTTTTTATCTACGAGATGCTGGTTGGTGAGTTACAGCTCGTTGCGTCTAAGAAGTCTTTCATGTGTTGGAATATATAACATGTTGAACTCAGTCCCAGTATTCATACCCCTTGAACTTTTCCACAGTAGTTGTCCTATTTTCCACATTGCCCGTCCTGTCTGCTTAGGTGGATGAAGTTAGTTTTGTATTTGTCTCATACTCTTTCCATTTTCGAATTATAGCTTGAACAGTGCTTTTCGAGATGTTCAATAGAAGTTGTTTTATAAATTAGCCCTAGTTTAAACGTCTCAACAACTTTATCCGTGACATGCCTGGGGCATTCCTTGGCCTTCATGATGCTGTTTGAGACCAGCTGTATTTATACTGAGATTAAAATACACACAGGTGGACTGTAGTTTATTAGGGGACTTCTGAAGGCACTTGCTGCACTGAATTTTAGTTTGCAGTATCAAAGTAAAGGGGACTAAATAAAATTGCATGCCACATTTCTGTTCTTTCTGCTTATAAAAAAATAATCTTTGAAAACCGTATCACTTTACAATTATGTGTTGATCTAATACAGAATCCCAGATGAATACTTTGAAGTTTGTGTTTGTAACGTAACAAAATATGGAAAAGTTCAAGGTGTATGAATACTTTTTCCAAGTCCCTGCTTTTTATTCTTCCTGCTGTTGTGTCAGGGTTTAGAAGTTTTGATTCCTCACTTCTCTTGTAGGTGAAACTCCATTTTATGCCGAGTCTCTCATCGGGACTTATGGGAAGATCATGAACCACCAGAACTCCCTCAGCTTTCCTGATGATATGGAGATGTCTCCTGATGCCAAAAATCTCATCTGTGCCTTTCTGACTGACAGGTTTGCACAAGTAACTTTACAAATATGATTAAAGTTGTTCTTTTTTTTTTTAACTCAAAATTCTGTTCATGTTTTACAATTTCAAGCTGCCTAGTATGTGAAGATAGCCAAATGTATGCATTGTCTATTTTATATTGTTTCACCACAAGCCTGGGAAAGTCTGTAATTTGAGTGGTATGTCCAGAGAACATTGTTTGTAGCTAAAAATTAGACATTTTTATTCACCGAAGCTAAAGTAAACTAACCACTAGCTCAGTATTGTTAGGAATGTTTTCTACAAGACCAAAACAAGCACAACAGCCTGCCTGTGGCTTTTATTTTGTTGATTCTTTCTGCAATGTCTACCACAATAAAAAAGTTTTTGTGCAGCACAATGGTGCAGAAGTTAGTGAAGCTTTACAATGGGATGGTTTGGTGTTCAAACATATGGCTTAGCATGCAGCTTTTTGATGTAAAGTGAGTGTTTCCTTGTGACTGCTTGTGTTTTCTCTTCATTTGTTTACAATGGTGAAAAACGGAAGGATTTTGATGAACGTATTTAAAATAAATGAATTAGTCAAGCAGAAGTCTATGAATAAATAGCTTATGGATGTTTTTCAAAAGGTGGTTAAATTTGTGACTAACGTAATCTAAAATTTAAAGGCAAGTTACTTTTGTATACTACACTAACTAAACTATTTATGACCATTCATAATAAAGGACAGACATGTTTTGAATTGGCAGAGAGAATGTTGTTTCTAAAATAAGTATTTTTGAAAAACACAGTTTGCCTAATAATAATGCAGACTGTGTAGAAATTTGCTGATTAATTTAGGTGTGTACACAGCAATACCCTCAGTTTGTACACTAAGCATGTCAAACAACGTAAATAACAGTTCGTATATATATATATATATATATATATATATATATATATAT